CTTCTTCTTCCAACCTCCTGGGGACACCCAATTTTTATTTAGGGGTTTTTTTTTTCTTTCATAAGGGATTTCCCTTTTTTTAAAGAAAGCCACCCCAAAATTTTGCCGGTTGGGGGGTTGGGGTATCCACCCCCCAAGCCGGGGGGCCCAAAAGGCGGGGGGTTCCTGGGGGGAAATTCTTCCCGCCAAAAAGGTGGGGAGGCCCAAGGAAACCACCCAAAACTGGGTTTTTTAGGGGCAAAACTCCGGGTGTACGGACCTTTGGGACCACTCCCAAAAACTTGGACAGTTTTCCCACCCCCCCCCCGCCCAGAAATTAGTTCCCCCCCCCCTCCACCATTGTTCCCCCCACCGGAAGGGGGGGCCATTTTCCGGGGGGTTTTGGGAGAAACCAAAAGTTAAGGGGAAGGGAAAGGGTTTGGGGGGCCACGGGGGGGGGGGCGGGGGGGGTGGGGGGGGGGGGGGTTGATTTCCGTTCGTGACAACGCGTTGGTCGGCTGAGAGAACCTCTGTTAACACTCACGTTCGTCCGCTCAATGTCGGAAACGAAAGAGGGCAGGAAGACTTTAGGCGCGTCTAAAACGATGCAATTCAATGTTGCGTATGAATCGGAGTATGAATCGGAGTATTCCTACGCACATAGCAGTGTTGTGTGACCCGAAAGCAATGTTGTTTTCACATAGGACATTATGCAACACGGTACACATGCGCGCTTGTCTTATTTTTATTTTCGGCGAGACGCAAGAAGCCCGCTGCAACACCGCCAATCTGTGGTCCCGGCACCCGCGTTTGTTTGTCAGCCGCTACCGAAAGTGTCCATTCAGCAAGAACTCTTCAACAAGAAGTCAAGAGGAGTGAGAAAAGCACCGTCAACGCCATCCTACATGTAGTAAAGTAAGGGTACTCGAACTGGAGTGACCACATGCGTTCCGCGTCCTACATAGCGAGGGATTCGGAATTTCTCGGTAGAGAGACCAGCAGAAGATGCCACAAAACACATCAACAAATAAATATTTGTAAGAAAAAAAGAAAAAAAGAAGGCAAGCGCGAGCGGGCCCCAGCCGCACCTGTCGGGGAGCGCACTCGTGGGTCAAACCTCGCCCATGGGGCCGCGGCGGGAGGAATCATTGCTCCCCTCGTGGGATTCCTGGGGTCGGGTCTGGGTTGCTTCATCTCCGGGGGCACCTGCGTTTTTTTACCCAAAGCAGATTGGTGACACCAAGCGCGAGGAGAGAACAAGACAACAAAAAAAAAGAGCATAGAGACAGATGACGGGGGAAAGAAGGAGCAACAGAAGGAAATGAAATGCATTCGATGCGAAGCATCATCTCCGGGGGCACCAACATCTTAGCGCAATGCAGATTAAACGCAAAAAAAGACAAGAAAGCACTGGCCCCTTTTGTGGGACTCGCAGGGCCCGGTCGCGAGAACTAAAACTTCGTTGACACACCAATGCTATTCCACTTTACTGCTCAAGTCGATAAATGCATTCGCTACTGAACTGAACACAAAACAACGAAGAGGGCGGGTGTCGAGACTCCGCCACCGCTCCCAGCAGCATAACTCCGTCTACACCCGCAGATGCTACAGCAGCACAACTGTATATCCGTTTGAAAAGTGTTCTTCGCCTCCAATCTTGCGGCTCTCTCTCTCTCTGGCTCCACTCCAACCAGGTCTGCGATAAATTTACATCACCCCGACTCGACCAACGCGGACACACAGGCCGATAGACTACCTCGTGGCCGCTGTCGACGAGAAGGTGGAGCGTTTCAAAAATCGTCGGAGAGCCGACGACGGCGTAGTTGTACAGCTCCCCAAGGAGACGCGCGTACCCCACCAGTCGCTGGGACTCCCCGCCGCCCCCGCCGGGCAACTGGCACAGTGGAAACCCCGATGAAACCGTTATCGACGAAAAACAAAACAAAAACGGCGGGGGCATTGTGAGGGGGCGGGAATATTCAACTCCATAACTTCACGCAAGGCTGCATCCCTAGCAGGCGCCGAGCGTCCACACCGCAAGAGACACAAGGGGAAGTGGTTCGCGTACCGTACAGCACTACTGAAGTTTTGTGGGCTTAGGGGTTGGGCTGCCCGGTGGAGTTGTTAGGACCGGGTTAACTATGAGGCTACAGGCAAGATTATAGGATGGGTGTACGGTAAGCGAGTGTTTTCGGGGCGAGGGGGTCCCTGGGTCTTCTTCACCGCTCATCTCGCCGACGAAAAACATACAGCGGTCTTGACTACGGGCGGCTGTGAAGGGCAACAAGGGTGGCGAGAATCCAATAAAATTGTCCACTACTGTAGACCATGGAACGCCTCCAATACAAACACGCAAGCAAGCCACACCTCTATCGCCCTGTGCATGGCCTCCAGAACCGCGTCGACCGCCTTGACGGCCACCCTGTCCTGATGCCGTGCAAGGCCCGAGAGGACGTCTGCCGCCAGGTGAATGCACGGGTAGCGGGAGCGGCAGAGCCGCAGGGACGCGCGCAGCACCTCTGACTCCACATCGGCCTCCGGGTCCTTTTTTTTTTAGGGGGGTGGGGGAGGGGGTGTGCATGAGAAGGGTTATGTTAGATGTCGTGGACGTTGTGTTGGGTGGGGGTATGATTTTTTCGCCTTCGTGGTCGCCGACATTTGAGGAGAGGGTGTGGACACCGGCAACAACGCGACGACGGCAAGAGGCCACGACAGCAGCAAGCAAGGATAAAAAGTTGTCAAGAGAGGGGGAACGAAAAATCGACAGCCTGTACGAAAAACCAAGGGAAAAAAAAAAAAAAAACGTTGCGACGCAATTTTCGACTGTATTCCTTTGTTTTTGGCGAAGGCATGTGTCATGTGTCACTCCACCTGCCGCGGTTACTATTGCCTTCCAAACCCATCTCGACGACACGACTCCTTGCTCCACGTCCGGGAACACATCTTACACCCATCACCATAGCCGCTACGGAACACCAAAACAACCAAGTCGGACGCTTAGTAAACACCCCCTGCGTGTCAACTTCCACGTGGCAACGTAACGCAGCCCCACCTGCCACGGCAGCTTCCTAAGCTGCTTGATGACCTCCTCCACGACGTCCGGGTCGTCTCTCAGCTTGTCCATCATCAGGTGCCGCACGTACAGCTGGAGGGGAGTCCTTACCTTCGCGGTCCTCTGCTGTCTGCTTAGCCCGACAACGAATCGAAGACGGAAGCATTCGTGTGGGTTTGTTGTCGAGCTGTGGACTCAACGCGCAACAACATGCCAATGGAGGCTCGCTCCGCTGAGTCGTTGATGGGGAATAGGTCTGATATGCCCAGCAATCTAAACCTCGCCCGCTGCCTCTCTCTGACGCCTTGCCGTAGCACCGGCAACACAAACAATAACCAACATCGGCGCCAAGATAAACTTTGGCCAACACCAATCGACCTCGCCAAGCGCGATACGACAGATCAGTGACTTGCATCATTCAGCTCGCACGGACAAGACAAAACAAGCGGTTACCACTGGCCTTCCTTCGACTCCTTCCAATAGGTGGTGCGTGTGGTCACACCGCACATCACTGGATTCGCTTGAATACAAACAGACGCCAACGAGTTCATCCGCGAAAGAAAAGACTGCCTTTCAGCAGGTGGAAAAGGCGTTCCCCCGATCTCCCAAGTTCGAGGCTCTACAACGGAATACCGCGACACACTGGCAGAAAACTGACAACGAAAAACGCAAGCCCAGACCTAACAACGAGAGCAAAACGTAAAACAGATGGAGAACACCAAGGCACAAGGGAACACGGACACACGGAATGGTTACCACCACCAAGTACTTCAACGCATCCCTTTGGTTGGGGAACTATTTCAGACGGGCTTAAGTCTCTCTGTGAGTGTCGTACACTTCCTGGGAATTGCGGGACACAATAGGGGGGATAGCACGTGCAACGTCATCACCACAAAACGTTCGAAAACAAGCGGTACGGATGGGTTACCTTTCGGTGAGGCAGCAGGTGTACCGCCATCACCGTCATCATCACCACAAAACGTTCCAAAACTAGTGGTACGTACGGGTTAACTTTCGGGCCGGCAGCAGGTGTACCGCCACCACCACCACCACCACCACCATCATCACCATCACCACAAAATGCTAACAGAAGACAAAGTGGCATATGGTTAACCTTTCGGGCGGGCAGCAGCTGTACCGTCATCACCACCACGATCACCGTCGCCACGTACGGTCGAAAAACACGTGGTATACGAGTTACCTTTCAGGGAGACAGCAAGTGCACGTTAACCACCACCACCACCACCACCACCACCACCATCACCATCACCGCCAAACGTTAGAACGTGGTATGTACGTGTGGGTTACCTTTCGGGCGGACAGCAAGTGTAGAAGGCGTTGTCCACGACGGCCTCCAGGCGCTTGTCGAGGTTCTTGGCACTCTTGACCTTCATCATCACCGTCAGGAAGCTCCGCGTGCGTTGGTGGGTCAGCTTCTGCCGGAAGAGAAACCTGTTTTTTTTTTTTTGCAGCAACATCCACCACGCCTCAACCACTCATTCGTCTCGTCCCACCAATCATGTTGCTATTGCCTCGCTTCGATCGCTTCGGCGACCGGCATGTTTGTGAGGGCGGTGAAACAAACCACCCAATAGAGTTTTTTTGCTTCTTTGTCTTGGAATAGTAGGGAATAAGGGATGCGCCGAGCAGAGGCCAGAAAATCTACAGTAGTACTACGTGGGGATAGCACAACAACACCGGACCACAGCAACACTGTGCCGCCAAGTCTGTCTTGTCTCAAACATTGACCACGAGGACACAAAGACAACTTTACTTCGATTCTCAAGCGGGTCCCCATGAAACCATCTGATCTCGGCACTTTTTACACGGACCCGATCGACGGGTTCCTCCGTTCGAACAAAAATTTTCAATTGGGGCATACAATACCGTATTATCTCGGACGGGTATCTTTTCGAGATTGCATGTATAGTCAGTCTACTGTCTAAAAAATATACCAGTAGCATCTACCATGCCATAGTCCCGCCACCCGCTCTGTGTGCAAGCCCACCGTGCAGGAGTACCAACGTACCTTCCGCAGGTCTCCAAGAGGGCCGCCATCGTCTGCACGGCGAGGGAGCTGAAATCGTCCAGGCATGACCTAAGGCACTGGAACGCCACCACGGGAGGCGCCACCTGGCAACACCAACAACGACACCAAGAACAGCAGCAGCATCAACAGCAGCAACAGTAACACGACCAACAATAGCAGCAGCGATAGCATCAGCAGCAGCAGCAGCGATAGCATCAGCAGCAAGACCAAGCACGCACATGTACAGAACCGACGAGGGCGTCCGCACACAGTACCACAATCAGAAACCAACATGTCACAGTCGCAAAAAAAACCCAGCATAGCTGGCGAGATAGAGGAGACAACGACGTATTTTCTCTTTTGGAAGGAACGCCAAGTTCGGAAAGCACACGTACACTAGTTAGCTCGTTCTCTATTTAGTCTACTCGCTCGATTATCTTTTTTATCTCCACCTTCTCACGTTCTCCATTGCTCTCACCTTCTCTGTCTCTCTCTCTCTCTTACCATTCTGTCTACGCCCATGACCCACTCCTTGTGCTAACGTACATTACATCCAGCCCTCACCCTGAACTTGACCAGCTCTCCGATGAAGCGGGCATTCTTGATGCGGTGGTCGATCTGCCCTGGCGCCTTCTTCCGCAAGAAGTACCTGTTCCGTACCGCATAGACATCGTCCCGTACCAGTCCATCATTCAAGTGATCCAGTGTGTGCCTTGTGTTTTCTTTCTAACATTAACCGCGCTTGCCGCCTCTCTGTGCGTGTGTGTGTTTTCGCCCCATCAATTCTACACCGTCGGCAGAAGAATATTCGACGCAGATATCGTGTGCAACAGACGGCGGTAAGAAACGTGATTCACCGATGGGGTTCTAACGACAAATATAATACTTCGAAGTACTATTCTACGGCAGTAGGTGCACCTGAAGTGGCTCCTCAGCTCTTCGATGAGAAGGGGCGCTATTGTCTTCATAGCCTGCGGGGGGGGAGGGGGGCGCGCAGCAAAAAAAGTCAGGAGTATTGTTTGTTGTTAGCAGGGTGGCTTACACAAAAAGTTAAATAATAGCCCGCAGGCTACTTGTACATCCCTGGACCCGACGATAGTAGTCTTTGGGAGTGCCCCATACCATCGTTCTCAATTGCTGTCGAAACAGGGAGCACTTTCGAGCGAGAAAAAAACACCATGTCCTTAGTAAAAAAATGAAAAATAACAAAATTACCAGGTTTCGTCCCATTGCCTTCCCGAATACCGATATTGTTCGAATGCCAACACCCCCAACTAAAAAAAAACACACCAGAAGCTGTACGTTCCACTCGCTCCGCACAACGCGGACAAAGGTCTCACTTTCTGACGAAGTGAAAACACATAAAAAAAAAATAATAATGTAATTGCTACCCTCTGTATGCATCATACTGCCGAGTGGGTAATAGAAACACCATGAATATGGGTAAGCAGACAGCGAGATAAAGGACACAAGTAATGGTGTTTGCCATCCTACATGGCCGCAATATTTACCCATGCTCAGAGAGTTTTTTTCGGTATTTTTACCCCCATCTATTCGGTAAAAATATTTCACGTACCAGCCGGGGTCACACAGCAGGAACGTTGGGTGCACGAACCGCCAGCATGTCCAAGGGAACTACACCCCCACCCAAACCGACATTAATCCGAAACAGAAGGTCCAACACAGGGACTTTTTTTTTTTTTTTTTGACATATTCTTTTTCTCTGATCCCGCTTCTCCCCGACAAACCTGGTCGAGGATGGCAACCAGCCTAGCGTACATGGGCAGCAGGTCTCGCGCCTGTCTTGGCACGTTGAACAGCGCCGCCACTAGCTTCTTTCTCGCCGACTTGCTGTTGACGTAGCAGAACTTCTTCTGCTCACGAAAGGCCGGTCGGACCGACACAGGAGGCGGAACGGGCGACCGAGCCGTTAAAAAAACAAAAGGCATGGAATGTATCGTACTCCGTACATTGTACGACAACTCAATGCCAAAGAAACACATCGGCAATGCCGTACCACGAATCAGTGTAGATACATGCACCTAAAGATTGGATCGGATGGTGGGTGTTGTCGCAGTCGATTTGCAGCAGTGCGTGGAGAAAATCGTAAGCTCGTGAAATAATGTCACGCAAGTCACAGTAAATCCCCATTCGCACCGACTCTACGGGAAGAAACCAGATTACAGAGTGTCAGGACGAGAAAAAAAAACGAGGGCGCAGAGGCAGCGACGACCGCACACACTAGCCATACCGCGGTCACCACACCGACGACCTCCAACAAAAACACGTACCATGCGGTAGAAGAAGAAGCTACCTCACGATGATAACGGCGATGTCGACTCGTAACCTCACAAAAATGCCTGTCTTCAGACCATCCCAACCTAATCCAACCCAATCCAATCACAACGGTTCTCGAAGCTGAAACCAACCCATCCCAATCTTAATCCAATCCATTCCAACCAAAACTGCAAAATCTGCGCGAGAAAAACATCGAGGGCGCCTTGTCCATCTCTTGTCTCGTCTTGTCTCACCGCAAACTCGTCCACCCTCTCCTGGTTGTGGCAGTTCGGCAGCTCGTCTTCCAGCATGAGCATCAGCCGCGAGTTGCGGCTCATGTACTCGCCGCCTTCTCCCTCCCCCTCCTCCCCCTCCTCCCCCTCTTCCCCTTCTTCCTCCTGCAAAAGCCACAACCATGGTTACAGAAGCCACGGTTGCCACCGCGCAGACAGCGAAACGCTTCGAAGGTCTACCCGGACAAGGCGCACAAACAATACAATCTAAGATGCGGGGAGATGATGAGACCAGTGTTGCTGCCGTGAAGAAACACAAGCTTCAAAGAACGCGGAAAAAACCATGCTAGACACAGCACGTTGAACCACGCTACAAGCGCGCAAGCTAAAAAGGAAAAAAATCAACAGGGGTGGCGGGCCTGTGGAGGGGTAAGGTAAGCAACACTGCCGGAAGCACGCTGAACAGCTATATGTTAACCATCCTCGCGTGAGAGAAAAACTCTGCGGAAAACCACCGCTTCGAATCCACGTTGCAAGCATGCCGCAGTATAATGGAGGACACTAAAGGAGCTCTTTCCACCGCTACTGAGAACAGCTAGAGACCTACAGCCCCGATGAGCCAATCAACGATAAGAGGCATTCCCCAAGCAGAGTGCTCTGTTCGCACGGCCTCTTGCTGTTGCCTCTAGCACGAGGGTTCCCCAAAAGATGGGGCTTCGCAGTGTGCTCTAGCCCGCCGAGGGGGCAAAGGTGGACGATCCTACGGACCCCCCCAGGGGTGGCGGGAGGGGGCGGCGTACTCATATTTTGCATGTCTTTGCGGCTGGACCATTGACCACGCGTCCTCGAGAGGACGGAGCATTGTTCCCACAGGACCGATCACCGATGGCCAATCGTTTCTTCCTACTTTGTCAAAGGTGGCTCGAAAACGATTTCCCTATACTACTTTATCTATCCTGTCGACATCTCTTCCCGCCGTTTCAACCCACTTCCTACGCCCCACTACAGCTATCCCCTCTGTGGGGGGCGTACTCATGTTTTGCATGCCTTGGCTGTTAGACCATTGACCGCGTATCCTCGAGCGGCCGGGGGGGGGGGGTAAACAAGAGCGCTTTCTCACCTCGTCATCGGTACCCGCCCCCTCTTCCTCCCCCTCCTCCGCCACCACCTCCAGCCGCTTCATTTCCTCGACGAGCGTCTTGTCGTCCTCCTCTTCCACCTCCGCTTCTTCTCCTCCTCCCTCACCTTCGGCATCACCGGCGCTCCTCTCCTTCTGCAGCCTCCTCTCCTCCTCCCTGAGTTGCTCCGCCTGCTCCTCCGTCAGGCCCAAAAGGTTCGGGGGCACGGTGCTGAAAAAAACCGGGAGAACTTCCTAAAAAGACCTGGGTGTAACCGGGGGGGGAAGGGGGGGGGGGGGGGGGGGA